ATTATATATTAATCCCCTAAGAGGGGCAATGGACCTAATATATCTGAACTGTGCTGGAGAGGGCTGGACGGTGCAGAACACGTGTATTTGGAGGAAAATTCGAGATTGGGAGTGTGTTGGGGTCACCCTGCAAATAGTAACCAAGGCTACTAGAATCCAGAATGTAGCTGGTGTTTGCTGACAGACTGCTGGGGTCAGAACTGGCAGACCAGGGCTCTGGCTATACATAGACACTCAGGGTGTGACCTGCATGCTGGCAGGCTGTTTGTGTGCAGCTCAGGTAGGAGCAAAGCATTGTGAGGCACCCCAGGTTGCAGGGCAAGGGTGACAGCCCCTCACTGGTCAAGACTGCACCCCAGAATGTCATTCTTTGGTTCCCTCTTCTACCCAAGCCTGACATTGTTCCAGTCTTGGCCCTCCCTCTCTCCACCCAGTTTGTCATCTAATCTAAGGCCTGGTCTACACTACGACTTTAATTTGGATTTAGCAGCGTTAATTCGAATTAACCCTTCACCCGTCCACACAGCGGAGCCATTTAGTTCGAAATAAAGGGCGCTTAAAATCGATTTCTGTACTCCACCCCGACGAGCGGAGTAGCGCCAAAATCGATTTTGTCAATTCGAATTAGGGTTAGTGTGGCCGCAATTCGATGGTATTGGCCTCCGAGAGCTGTCCCAGAGTGCACCATTGTGACCGCTCTGGACAGCAATGTGAACTCGCATGCACTGGCCAGGTAGACAGGAAAAGACCCAGGAAAATTTGAATTTCATTTCCTGTTTGCCCAGCGTGGAGAGCACAGGTGACCACAGATACCTCAGCTCATCAGCACAGGTAACCATGCAGGCTGATAATCGAAAAAGAGCACCAGCATGGACCGCACGGGAGGTACTGGATCTGATCGCTGTATGGGGAGAGGATTCAGTGCTAGCAGAACTTCGTTCGAAAAGACGAAATGCCAAAACTTTTGAAAAAATCTCCAAGGGCATGATGGAGAGAGGCCACAATAGGGACTCAGATCAGTGCCGCGTGAAAGTGAAGGAGCTCAGACAAGCCTATCAAAAAACAAAGGAGGCAAACGGTCGCTCCGGGTCAGAGCTGCGGACATGCCGCTTCTACGCCGAGCTGCATGCAATTCTAGGGGGGGCCGCCACCACTACCCCACCTGTGATCGTGGAAACCGGGTCGGGGATAGTCTCTACACCTGAGGATTCTGCGGATGGGGAAGAGGAGGAGGAGGAGGAGGACGAGCTTGCAGAGAGCACCCAGCACTCTGTTCTCCCCAACAGCCAGGAGCTTTTTCTCAGCCTGACTGAAGTACCCTCCCAAGCCAGTAGCCAAGACTATGACCCCATGGAAGGGACCTCAGGTGAGTTTACCTTTTAAAATACAAAACATGGTTTAAAAGCAACCGTTTTTTAATGATTAATTTGCCCTGAGGACTTGGGATGCATTCGTGGCCAGTACAGCTACTGGAAAAGTCTGTTAACGTGTCTGGGGATGGAGCGGAAATCCTCCAGGGACATCTCCATGAAGGTCTCCTGGAGGTACTCCAAAAGCCTTGCCACAAGGTTTCTGGGCAGTGCCGCTTTATTCCGTCCTCCATGGTAGGACACTTGACCACGCCATGCTTGCAGCAAGTAATCTGGTATCATTGCCTGACAAAGCCTGGCAGCGTATGGTCCCGGTGTTTGCTGGCATTCAAGCAACATCCGTTCTTTATCTTGCTGTGTAATCCTCAGGAGAGTGATATCGCTCATGGTAACCTGGTTGAAATACGGGAACTTAATTAAGGGGACAGAGGTGGCCGTTCCTACTGGGCTGTTTGCCTGTGGCTGAAAAGAAATCCTTCCCTGCAGTTAGCCAAGCGCCGGGGGGGGGAATTGGCCCAGAGCTTTTCGCGTTTGGCTAGCAGGGATCTTCCCTGATACCAGCCACGCTGTGGGGGGAGGGGTAAAGCGATCATCCCAGGGAATTCATGGCGGGAGGGGGGGGCGGGGGGGTTAGTTTGGTTTCTGCAGGGATCTTCCCTCATACCTGCCACGCGGTGGGGGGAGGGATACAGCGATCATCCCAGAGAATTGGATGGTGGGGGGGGTTAGTTTGTTTTCTGCTGCTGAAGGTTAACAGGAAAACCGCAGCAGTCAACAGGCTTTGCTTGGTATGTGGGAAAGGATGGCTTACCATGGCTGCCTGCAAGCTGAATTCTGTTGCCCGGACCTGCGTCTGTGATCTCTAACACCAAAGCCACAGGCACTCAATATTAAGATGGAAAATGCGACCTTGTACTGAAATCACATGTGCTATGTAATGTGAATAGTGTTTTTCACCATGAAAGAGTATAAGTATTGTTCTGTAAAATGTATCAATTTAATAAATTCACTCCTTTCTTTCAACCCTCCCTACAGCAGCTGCAAATTTTTCAAGCCTCCCTCCTCCGTCCCGAAGGCTATCTCAGATAAGGCGTCGTAGAAAGAGGACATGAGACGACATGTTCACAGAAATAATGGAAGCCACCCGCAATGAAAGAGCTCATTTGAATGAGTGGAAGGACACTGTATCTAAATTTAGGAAAGATGCCAGTGAACGTGAGGTCTTGAGGGACGCTCGAGATGAGAGGTGGCAGGCTGCAACGCTGGGGCTGCTTCGTGATCAAACAGACATGCTCCGGCGTCTGGTGGAGCTTCAGGAACGGCAGCAGGATGACAGAGTGCCGCTGCAGCCGCTGTATAACCTCCCCCCCCCACTCCACCCCAGTGGACAGCCCAACCAAAAGGCTGTCATTATATTGAATTTGATCAGTGGCCTTATACTTCCCTCATATCCTCCTCCCAAACCTCACCCAGATTACCTTATTGGTTCTCTCCCTATGTTTATAATCACTTAATAAAGAATACATGATTTTTAAACGATAGTGACTTTATTTCCTTTGAAAGAAAGCTGGGGGAAGGGGGAGGGTGGGTTGCTTATAGAGAATGAATGAGTCAATAAAGGGGGCTGGTTTTCATGAAGGGAGAAACAAACAGAAATTTCACACTGCAGCCTGGCCAGTCATGAAACTGGTTTTCAAATCTTCTCTGATGCACAGCGCTTCCTGGTGTGTTCTTCTAATCGCCCTGGTATCTGGCTGCGCGTAATCAGCAGCCAGGCGATTTGCCTCAGCCTCCCACCCTGCCATAAAGGTCTCCCCCTTACTTTCACAGAGATTGTGGAGCACACAGCAAGCAGAAATAACAATGGGGAGATTTCTTTGGCTGAGGTCAGAGTGAGTTAGTAGCGATCGCCAGCGACCTTTTAAACGGCCAAATGCACATTCTACCACCATTCTGCACTTGCTCAGCCTGTAGTTAAACAGCTCCTGACTCCTGTCCAGGCTGCCTGTGTATGGCTTCATGAGCCATGGCATTAAGGGGTAGGCTGGGTCCCCAAGAATAACTATTGGCATTTCAACATCCCCAACGGTTATTTTCTGGTCCGGGAAGTAAGTCCCTTGCTGCAGCCGTTTAAACAGAGTAGTGTTCCTGAAGACGCGAGCATCATGAACCCTTCCCGGCCACCCCACGTTGATGTCGGTGAAACGTCCCTTGTGATCCACCAGTGCTTGCAGCACCATTGAAAAGTACCCCTTGTGGTTTACGTACTGGGTACCCTGGTGCTCCAGTGCCAAGATAGGGATGTGGGTTCCATCTATCGCCCCACCACAGTTAGGGAATCCCATTGCAGCAAAGCCATCCACTATGACCTGCACATCTCCCAGAGTCACTAGCTTGTGTAGCAGCACTTCAGTGATTGCTTTGGCTACTTGCATCACAGCAGCCCCCACAGTAGATTTGCCCACTCCAAATTGATTCCCGACTGACCGGTAGCTGTCTGGCGTTGCAAGCTTCCACAGGGCTATCGCCACTCGCTTCTCAACTGTGAGGGCTGCTCTCATCCTGGTATTCTGGCGCTTCAGGGCAGGGGAAAGCAAGTCACAAAGTTCCATGAAAGTGCCCTTACGCATGCAAAAGTTCCGCAGCCACTGGGAATCGTCCCACACCTGCAACACTATGCGGTCCCACCAGTCTGTGCTTGTTTCCCGGGCCCAGAATCGGCGTTCCATGCCTATAACCTGCCCCATTAACAGCATGATCTCCAAAGCACCGGGTCCCGCGGTTCGATAGAATTCCATGTCTATAGCCTCATCACTGTCGTCGCCGCGCTGCTGTAGCCTGCTCCTCTCCGCCTGGTTTTCTTGTTCAGCATAAACTGCACGATAAGGCGCGAGGTATTTACAATGTTCATGACTGCTGTCTTGAGCTGAGCGGGCTCCATGCTTGCCGTGGTATGGAGTCTGCAGTGTTCACCCAGGAAAAAAGGCGCGAAATGGTTGTCTGCCGTCCGTTGCTTTCATGCAGGGAGGGAGGGAGGGAGGGGTGAGGCTGTACCCAGAACCACCTGCGACAATGTTTTGGTCCCATCGGGCACTGGGATCTCAACCCAGAATTCCAATGGGCAGGGGAGACTGCGGGAGCTATGGGATAGCTACCCACAGTGCAACGCTCCAGAAATCGACGCTAGCCCCGGTGCATGGACGCACACCGCCGAATTACTGTGCTTAGTGTGGCCGCATACAATCGAATTTATACAATCTGTTTCCCAAATTCGAATTATATAAATTCGGATTAATCCCGTAGTGTAGACGTACCCACAGTCTTCCCCTCCCTGGGCTCCTCATCCCTATCTCCTTGCCCAACTAACTCCCATTTCTCCTCAACCCCAGCTCCTTGGGTCAGTCTCTTTGCCCAGTCAGCCCACTGCCTCCGCTCCTAATCCAGTACCAGTCTTAAATCAGTGGAACTACTCACACTAGTCCAGTTAAGCATGTACATAAATGTTTACAGAATCAAGATCACAGGGCATTATTTCAATTTTGTTTCTTGTTAAAGTGGTTTAGGATTTAGGGCGGTGTTTTGCTCTGCAAAAAAATTCCATAATATTTCTATGAGAAAAGATTTTCAAACCTGACATCCACAGTTTTATTGCATTCATGGTCGAACACTTCAAAAGCATCTGTAATCTTTTTCTGAATGTCTGCTATTATGGCTTCTGCAAAACACAAAAACAAAAAAAAGTTTCACCAAGCTACTCCAATGAATTTTATTTCTAGTTTAAATATCATCTGAAAGAAAGACTCAAATACAGTCTCCACCCTAAAATGGAACAATTCACTTTTCTCTGAATTTCCCCCTATTTACCCTAACTTTAGGTTTCACACATTTCCATTCTACCACCAGGTCTTATGTCAGTCTCTCTTTCCGCTCCTTTATGTCTTTAAACATCTTACTCTTTGCCTCTTTAATCTTACACCTCTTTGTTTGAGGATCTCTTTCTTTTTTGGGAAGGGAGAGATGAAAGGACTCATCTTTCTCCTTCTACTTTCTTCCTCTGTTCAAAGGGTCCCACATCATAGCAACAATCCCTCCACCTGTTAAGGGATAGATACATCGCCCTTTAGTGCTCTCTTTGCATTGCTCTCAGCAGACTAGCTGTTCTTCCTGTTATCCATCTTCTTTTTCCTCCTCCTTCCCTCAATTTATTTCTCTTCCTTATCTTGGTCTCCTTCCCTTCTAATTTTTGTCTCTTTCTCATTCATCTAGTTTTCTTTCTTCCTGCATCTACTTATGAGGGGGTTTTTTTGTTTTGATTTGATTTTTTTTTCTCCCCCACTTTGATCAATTTGGTAACTCTTCTCTGGACCCATGCCAGAACATGTCTGTTCACACAGATGTGCTATTCCCCAAAATGGATGCAATAACTCTACTGAGTCCTCACCATGGAATTTTACATAGGTAAAATACTGTATTTCTTTGTGTATATTAATGTTTTTGATACAACTTACTGGCCTAATCCTCCTCTGTCTTGCTCCTTGTGTATTAATTTATATCTGTGAAAATAGGTGTAAAATGCTATCACAAGTATCAGAGAGTAGAGAATTCTGATTCGGTAGCATTTATATATATTTTACACTAGTGGTTCTCATCCAAGTATGCGTACCCCTAGGGGGTACGCAGAGGTCTTCCAGGGGGTACAACAACTCATCTAGGTATTTGCCTAGTTTTAGAACAGGCTACATAAAAAGCACTTGTGAAGTCAGTATAAACAAAAATTTCAGACAATAACTTGTTTATACTGCTCTGGAATTTACATACTGAAATGTAAGTATAATATTTATATTCCAATTGATTTATTTTTACCATATAATTATGAGAAAGTAAGTAATTTTTCAGCAATCGTGTGCTGTGAAACTTATATTTTTATGTCTGATTTTGCAAGCAAGTAGTTAAGTGACATGAAACTTGGGGGCACGCAAGGCAAATCAGACTCCTGAAAGGGGTACAGTAGTCTGTAATGGTTGAGAGCCACTGTTCTACACAAGTGTAAACGGCTATAAAAAGTACAAGGCAGGAGAGGATCAGGCACTAACATCTTATTTGTCTTTACTGTAACTTATTACCAATTTGGCTTCTTCCATTGTCACGACATTACAATTCTCCATCAGTGTATAGTCTGGTCTACAGTTAGAGCCTACAGGTCTGATAAAAAGTACACTAAATGCAATGGAAAGACTCCTATTCACAGAAATAGGTTTGTATCAGGCTCCAAACGCATTACTTTGTATTTGGTGTCTTACACCTTCTCTACACTACAAAACTGCACCACGTAGCACCTTTTCAAAAACTGGCTAAAACCCTGAACGTGGTTTGTACTTGTATCCACTTAAAGCTAAACTGTTTTCATCATTGCTTTCAGCTATGGTTAATATCTAGGTGGACCTGATCCTTAGTGGTGCCGAGCACCTAAAGTCTGATCCTCAGCCTACTGAAGTTAATGGAAGTCTTTCCACTGACTTCAATGGGTCTTGGATCAGGCCCCTACTGAGCACCTGTAATTCCCACCAAACTAAGGCCAGGTCTACACTAACAAGTTAAATCAACCCAGTTACATCACTTAGGGGTGTGAAAAAAATAAATGTGTTAGTCTAAGGTGCCACAAGTACTCCTGTTCTTTTTACTCAAATCTCAGAAAATCAGGAATTGAAGAGTTAAGGCAATACAAACAAATTTCTGAAACCCAGGAAATACAGAGTTAAGGAACACACCATCCCCCAGCTCACCCTTAACTCCTCCCCCTGGAGCCAGCAATAGCTATTGGGAATGGTTCTGTAAGTGGGTGGCATAATAAGTAGACATAAGAAAAGACTAAGAGAAGGTGCATTGTTTGTGTTGTGTTTCCACAGACACACATCAAAGCTGTAACTAAGCACTTTAGCATCCAGGGCAAACAAGCATATCTGCACCTCATACCAGAGGCGATGCATGGGAGGCATGTGGAGTCATGTGCCCCCCTAGATTTTTTGGTTGCACTCCCCCAACCCAGACAGGCTGGGTGGCATGCTGAGGTGAGTTGGGGGGGTCTCCCCATGGGGCCCCCCACACACATAGGGCTGGCCTGAACTGCCTGGCATTGCCAGCCCAAGCCACCCCTGTGGCTTTACATCCTGGGCGGCTGCCCCACCCTGGCTGAGATAAAGCTTAAGCAGCTGAGATCAGTTTGCGGAGGATTTTAAGCCTAGTTTGAGCCCCTGGTGAGCACAAAAGAAGTTAGAAGAACCAAGTGATTTTGTTAACAGCTGATTTTAGGGAGACAGTATCATAGGAATCCCTCGCTCAAATGACCCCAAATTTGGAGCACAAGCCCTACTCAGTGGCGCTGGCACACTTTTTATAGTGGGGGTGCTGAAAGCCAGTGAAACTGTAAAGCAGGGGTCCCCAAGCTTTTTACCTTATGCCCCCCTTTACCATGGGACCTGCAGCCAGTACCCCGGGTGCGGGGCCAGGAGCAGAGCCCTGCGTAAAACCTGGGGGAGCTGCAGCACCCCCCGCACCTCTAATTCCCATACCCATGGCCCTACCCCACACGCCCAGGAGGCATAGTGTGTTTTGAGACTCTCTCCGTAATCACATGGATTTTGGAGCTCTTAGAATAGTCATCCTTTAAACAATAAGGAACTCTCAACCTTAACTATAAAGAGATGCCATTGTGCTATAATACAGTCGTTTGTAAAGTCATTTAGGATGAAGGGCACAATATATTCCAAAAAATATTATTCTTTAAATCCTTAAAATCCAGAAGATTACATTGGATTTCATGCAATTACTTTATAAGAAACAAAGGTTTTAGAAGTATGACTTTTGTATATGTATGTACCTTAACCACTAGAGTTCTGCTGACAATGCTTGGTCTATGGGTAAAACGCACATGTTCTGCCTAGTGTACAATTTCAGATTCACCTCTCTGAAGTGCTGGTTTTGGCCCTTCAGAGGAAGTCTATGTAAAGCGGGGGGGGAAAAGCAAAAGGATTACGAATTTTAAAAATTGGTCTTAAAATAATTATTTATAAATACAATAGCACATCTTCTGCACATGCCTGTGTCAGTCAATGAATGTCAACTTTTGGTACGTTGAGCTTTTATCTAGGGCCTTCTATGGCGTAGAACACTACAGTATGTGAGCATCACACCACAGATAGAGTGTCCATTTATTGACTAACACACAAAGCTCATCATGTGTTATTGCTTATGTATCATCATTTATTAAGACTGGCTACTAGAAGCCCATGTGCTACATGGCACCTGAGTTTTCTATTTGCCTACAATCGAACAATACTCTGCACTTATATATCATGCCACATCTGACATATTCAATGCGGTACATTTATCAGTTAATTAATCCTCATAAAAGCCCAATGAATTGGTTGTTTTATCTCTGTTTTACAGATAAAGAAGTAGAGGGACACAGACACTAAGAGGAACAATTTCAAAAGTAGCCTCTAACTTTGGGTGCTGTACTTTAGCTACCTAAGCCAAAATTTCATACATGAATGCCTAAAGTTAGACATCTAAATCCATACTGGAGTCCCTAAGTAAGTGGCCTTATTTTTCAGAGGTTCTGAGCACCCACCATTACCACTTACTTCATTTTGAATTGTGGGTGTTTACAATTTCTGGAAAACAAATCAGACCCTAGATTTCTAAAGCTGGGCATCCAGCATTAGAAGCCACTTTTAAAAAATTGATGGGACTTTTCACACAACAGGTCCATTGCAGAGCTATGCTAACCAGTGGATCAAGCTCCTCACATGGACTCCATTTTGCCAAATTTTATTGCAAATGTCACTGAATATATATTTGTTCCCACCACATAAAAGTACTTGTAAACTGGAGCAAATCTCAGATGTGAAAAAATTAGCGTACAGACATGGAATGAAAACCCAAATTCTTCTGAACAGCATATTAACTACTGTTGGAGAAAAGATCATTTGTATGAGTGCTGCAAATCCCTTTTAGCATTGTGAATCTGAACTTGGCATTGTTCAGAAGACAAAATATTGACAACTTTCTACAAACCAGCTAATTTCTTGTTGAATTAGTGAGCTAGAGGTAGAGTTAATCTGCAAAATTTCTGCACTTGTATGCACCATGGAAACAAGAAAATCTCTCTCTCCAGAAAATCCACAATTGCCTTAAAAGTCAGCCATGGCTTTGTCTATAAACATAACTAAATTTTGTTGTCTACTTCAGTCTCAAATATAAGCTGAACCTTTAAGCTTGAAAGTTTGTGTGTATACAGTCCATAATGAAGTATCAGAGGGGTAGCCATGTTAGTCTGTATCCAAAAAAACAACGAGGAGTCCGGTGGCACCTTAAAGACTAACAGATTTATTTGGGCATAAGCTTTCATGCATAAAAAAACCTCACTTCTTCAGATGCATGGAGTGAAAATTACAGATACAGGCATAAATATATATTGGCACATGAAGAGAAGGGAGTTACCTTACAAGTGGAGAACCAATGTTGAAGGCCAAATCAGTCAGGGTGGATGTGGTTCTCTCTCAATAATTGATGAGGAGGTGTCAATACCAAGAAAGGGGAAAATTGCTTTTGTAGTGAGCCAGCCACTCCCAGTCCCTATTCAAGCCCAAATTGATGGTGTTACGTTTGCAAATGAATTGTAGCTCTGCAGTTTCTCTTTGAAGTCTGTTTTTG